GGCCGGCGGGGGAGATGTGCTCGGGCGCCGCCGGATCGGTTTCTCGGGGTTTGACCAGCTGTCCCGGGCTAACCCTGCTCCTCGCTGAAGATGGAGGAAGTAAAAACAGGATTACCCTTAGCTACAGATCCACTGCCTTAGTTTCCACCACCAACTGCAGTGCACAAACACACGTTAGGCACAGGAAAGAAAGAAAGAGAGAGGACACACACACAGTAAACACAAACAAAAGGGTGATGGGATTATTTTACTGCATGCACTGCTGAGGTAAATCTCCGCTTGGCTTTTGCGTTGATGAAGAACAGCTCTTGTTTTATTTGTCTTCTGATTCATAGATTATATATAAATATGTGTATGATTTGCAGAGGGGGGAGTGTTTTCAAAGTTAAGTGTAATTATATAGCATCTCGTTTGCACTGTGATGTGATCAAATGACTTGTTGCTGTTATCCAATAATAATAATAATAATAATATAGGTATTTTTCTCTGGGAGGGATGGATTGTGGTTATGATTAGGGTAATGATTTCTGTAAAAGACGCTCAGGGAATCGGGTTGAAAATGATGTCCTCTGCCTTAATTTATCGTCCCCTCCTTGTAATCTGTTTCTGGGATGTTAATCGATTAATCAGTTCTCATCTCTGTCGCTGTCATGGATTTGGACTTGTTTTGCTTTGTTTTAACTTGAATTCCAAGAAGAAAGATTGGGTAGCCTAGAATAAATTGCAGCTGTCCAGATAGAAGGTAATATCCAGATCCTGTTGGAATTAAAAAACAAAACCAAAAAATACTGCTATGACACATGTAAAAAGGCAGCAGTTAAATCACTTTGACAGGTTCTAGTATGGGCGAAAGAGATGGAATTAAGATTTAATTTTTTTTTCCCCTTTCTTGCCAAGGGCCAAAAACAGTCCTGTGAAGTTGGCCTAGGTTCCTTGCTAGGTTCTGCCTGACTGTCCCTCCCCTCTTGCCCCCCCCCCCTCCTTTTCTTTCAGTTTTCTTGTCTTAGCTTTTGGTCGATTCTTAAGGAACCGGTGGATCAAGTTTTTTCTCTTCTTGTTAATCGCATTGCTGTAGCACTGACTGACCTCTCTCTCTCTCTCTCTTTTTTTTTTTTTTCTTCTTTCCTGAAAGTACGTGGTGCCATTCCTGAGTGACTTTTCCTACTAGACCATCCCAAAGGGACGAGGGGAGGGGTGAAAGGAGGAGGAGGAGAAGGGGGGTGTTCCTTCTCTCTCATTTCTTGGTTTTGTTTATCAGCCGATCTGTTTGCTGGATTTGGGCTTGGAATGACCCACCTGTAAAGTGCTTTTCCTTCCTCCTCGCCTTGAACTCTGCAGGGGGCTTGGCTTGGAGGGGGCCAGGGAGGGAAAGAGAGAAGGGGGAAACACAAAAAACTTCTTTCTCTCTCCGTTTATCTTCAGCCCGACATTGTCACCTCCTCTTTGAGGGGTTAGAAGAAGCTGAGATCTCCGGACAGAGCTGGAAATGGTGATGAATCTTTTTTAATCAAAGGACAATTTCTTTTGTATGTACATTTCGTTTCTCTTTCTCTTTTTCTTTTTCTCTCTTTCCTTCTCCGAGGGTTAATAACCATTTCATTGATGGGGCAGACTTCTTTCACTTCTCCCTGACGTTTCTTTCTTTTTAATGTGTGTGTTAAATGTGTACATTTTGAAAGAGATAAACTCATTTGTAAAATATCCGAAGAAACTGCTCCCCTTTTAAAACTTTACCGGGTCCCTTTCTTTAAAGCCTTATGTAATCATAATTTGAAAGAATTTGATAACAGTACAGCAGGTTGAAATTTAAGTGCTATGTAGTGACTGAGTTGGGAATTTGATCTGATTATTCCATAAAGAAAGAAAGAAAAGTTTTTTTTGGAGGGGGGTTAAGGAGGGTGGTGGTGAAGAAGGGGAGGGGAGGGAGAAGGGAAGTGGTTTTGGAGACAAGAAGTGAAGCTGCCTGTTTTCCAGTAAGTAATGGAGAAATTCCAGGAGCCAGGGCTAAATATACTTGGCGATCAATACAGAAATGGCTCATTGTGAATAATTTAGCTGCTGGTGCAGTGAGAGTTTTGAAACTAAAGGCAAAAAGGACCAGGGCCAAAGGGAAAAAAAAATTAAGTAAAATCTCTTCAGGACTTGTCAATTCTTAAACTTTTCCCTTCAAAGAATACAGTTAGGTTATTGATCTTTTCATTATGTGAATCAAAGCTAGGGGGTGTCATCTCATGCAATTTACTTTTGTTTCTGGTATTAAGTTTTGTTTTGTGTCGTTGGAGCATGAAAATAATTCCTTAAACTTAAAAAAGAGAAAAGCAATTCCTTCCTGCACAACCAAAAGTTTATGAAATTTCCAAAATCAGAATGTATTAAGTAGGCTTCGCATTTGTATCCAGCCATGGTCTGGCAGGAAATTAAGGTTGCATGGAACAGGTGCTTACACAGAACTTGGGGTAGGCTAAAATGTCAATACAAGTCAGGGAGTTGGCCAACTGCTGCAGAAGTCTTCAAGACACTGTTGGGCACTAAGTTTTTTTGTTTTGTTTTGTTTTCTTATGTTTGTTTGTCCTCCCCCTCCCTGTTAGAACATGATGAACCAACTTGCAACAATTGTGAATAGAGCTATCTGTATACTGGGGAAGTCCTCAGACTGCAGTGTGATTGTGGGAAGTAGTGAATGATAAAATACTTAAATCCCAGTTGAAGCTGGCACATTCGAGGTGCACCCACCTAAGAGCACTTTTTTTTCCCTTAAATCAAGAAAATTTCGATGAAGAGTCATTCCCTTCTTGCTACAGCCACCTCACAGCTCACTTTTCTTTCATATCTTTTTGCAGGAATCAGATCATTTGCAGAAAGAGTTCGGTGACTTGCAAATGAGCACATACAGTACACTGTAGTATGTTTCTTGGGCACAGGTTGCAGCAGCAACATGGACTAACTGCTTGGAGCTTCAAATAAGTTAAGAATTTAATGGCAGATACTGAAAGGAATCTTTGTGTTAAGGGTATAATCTCTTGTTTTGCAGCACTGCACTTTGACTATGGAAACAGAGGCTATTGATGGCTATATAACGTGTAAGTATTCATTTTCATTAACTTGGCTATTGGTAATAAAGTTACCTTTGTGGTACCTGTATTTTCATTCCTAAATTTTAAGATTTCAGATTCTGTACTCTTATTTTCTACCTGCTCACCATTTTCCTTTTAAATGAGTTTGAGAAAATAATAGCACAGAAGTGAAATAAGAAGGAAATGTAGACATGTAATTTCTAACTCAACTAAGGATAATATTTAAATGAGAGCGGCTTAATCAACACTTTCCTACTGGATTTTTTTTTTTTTCATTTACTAGATGTTTAGAATAGGTCAGGTTGCATTCATGTCTACAAAAATGGTGTGTCCTAAATATTTACTAGTCTGTAACTTAGTTTTTTGGACCCATAATATGAAGGAGAATTAGCTTCTTTAAATTGACTTTTTTTTTAGCCAACTTTTTTTCCACATGTACATCTCTGACAGCCATTTGGGAAAATGTTCATTATAAATACTGTATGCTCACTAATGAAATGTTAAAAGATGGTCTGTTTAAACTGAAAAATAGTTTACACATCAACTACTTTATTCCTTTTATATTACACGTGAGAGTATTGTGACAGTAAAGTTTTAATTTTTGATTGTGGATTGATTGTGGCTTTTCATAATTCATTTATTATATACTTATATGTGATATTTATTTATAGTTTTCCAAGGGAAAAAAAGTATTACCATAAACTTTTAAGACCAAGCATCCCATTGCATGTGTGAAGTTAGTAATTTGCTTTTATGTGGCAATGGATAGAGACCAAAAGATTTTATTTTGTGAAAGCAGGTGACAATGAGCTTTCACCTGAAAGGGAGCACTCCAGTATGGCTATTGACCTCACCTCAAGCACACCCAATGGACAGCATGCCTCACCAAGTCACATGACAAGCAGTAAGTCTTCATTTTATGTTTTTTTTTTTTTCCCCTCTATCTCTCTAGTGACAGACTTGAATTTGTGAGGTCTGTGGGGTCCTCTCACATTGTGGTGTAGCTATTGCTATAGATTTTGCTAAAGAAAGAACAACACAGATTTATTCCTGTTCATTCTAGTATCATAAAACATGAGCCTGCTTACTAGTCTGAACTATCCCAAGGTGGCATTTGGGAGCTGGTGCTTACCTGTAGCAGGTAAGAAATGTTAGGATTTGCTGGTATTATTTTACTTGCCAGGTTTATGAGTGGATTTGTTACTATGGTTGGATTAAAAATATGGAAACATGTTCCTTCCAAAGGACTCTTCACAGTAAAAAATAAATGAAATAATTTTATATTGCTTGGGTACAAAGCTAAACCATCAGTGGTAGAATTTTAGTGTTACTTGCTTTTTTTTTTTCTCTCCTAAATGTGAATGCTTCTCCTTTCAAGAATTGGAAATGAAGTGTAATTGAAAATTTATGGAACTCATTTACATCTATTTCTTTAACAAAGTTGAAAGCAATTTGTTTTAGATTGTCCAGAGAAGAGCTGAGAAAATTTGGAAGGATGTTTTGAACTTGCAAAGTAGATAGTTTTTGCTTCTATTTTTGATAAAGGGCCATATATGGTTTTGTGTAATAAAAAAAGCAACTTATATCCTATGATAGAGGCAGAGTAATTTTATTTATCAAGAATATGGCTTGGTTTTTTTTAATTGTAGTATTGTATCAGTCTAGTTACCAAATGAAAAAGAGCTCTATTACTCTTTCTCAGAAGTATTATATTTCAAAATCTTGATTCCCTTATTTCATATATATTATATTCCTATGTAGAAAAGACATCTGATTTGCATGTAAATATAATTTAACTTAGACATTTTCTATTATGGTGTTATGTGAAAGAACAGCACTTTCCCCTTTTTTTCCTCTGAGAATTTAATAGACAAAAAAACGGAATCATTTACTTGATTATGTGGGTATTCTTAAGTTATTTCTGGTTATTTGGAGAGAATAGCTGTTTCTTTCCACTTTGCTTTTACAACTCTTAAAGCTTAAGATTATTATAAAGCTATAAGCTTTGTAATTAGTAAAAGCTACTGAATTATAAGCAAAAGTAAATAGAATACTGTTGAGTACATTTTGCAATTCAGTAACTTTAAGTGACTTTAGTTGTTGACTTGAAATTATGATAGAACTCTTTGAATGTATTTATTAAAAGTTTTCCTTTGGTAATGGGAGAACCCTCCTGAGAAAATTTTATTCTAAAAGCAGCCCCTGAAATTCCTATATCATGTAAAAAGAAAAATAGTGGCTCTATACTAACTTAGAGTGCTAATTTCTTATAATGGATTCTGTAAGGTAAATTTATTGTTTTGCTAGTTGATTTGATAAATGTTATAGGACTACTGCAACAGAGGCAATACAATTTGTACATTTAATGTTACTAGTTCTTTGGTAGCGTATGTTTTTCTAAGGTAACTTCCATATACTTTCCTAAAGAGTAAAGATAGAGTTACTCATTTTTTATTGGTTAAATATTTAGCTGTTGGCTAAAGAAATATTGAATCTGTGTGGTAGAGAGTAATTGTTTATCATACTTGAGAACCATCCTCTAGCCACCCCCAGTATATCAGCAGAAAAATTCTTGGTAATTGGTTGTCTCCTTTACTTGTGAATTTAATTCAGGTTTTGCAAGTACTTGCTTCTAGAAGACAGTTTTCCCATTGTTTTAAATAAACAGTGCAGAGCATATGCATGATCAATTTGAACAAATAAGAACTGTGCTTTTCTCACCCAACAACAATAAACTTACGTTTGGTAAAGAGATTTTTGGTTTTTATTATTGTTTTTTACTTACTAGCCTGCGGCAATTCCATGTTAGTACAGCTTTTGGCTGAGCTGCACGTGTTTTCAGGTTCTTTTCCAAAGAGTTGCAGGTTAAACATTTTGGCTCTCACTTCAGAGTTGTCTGTTGCATCCTTTATGTAGCCTCTATTTACAGTATCTAGGTTACCCACTTAGGTGTTAGATGGAGAAGATACCCATTTTTCCTCTCTGTTAGATCTAGGAGAATATCAGCCTTTTAGATTGCCAAAGCAAATAGTAGTAGAGAGGGACTCTTGTCTGTTAATTAGAACAAGAGACCTAGAATTGGTTACTCACGTGTTTTTCTGTGACTTGGAATAATTTTTGTGTGCACGCGACCTGTAAGATCACTTGTATCTGGGATCATTGGTTTTTCAAAATCCCTTTATGTACACTCTTGCCTTTACTAAATAAAAAGAACTTATTTTCTGCCTTAAAAAAAAAAAAAAAAAAAAAAAGAAGTCTTCAAATATGCTTCCTGGAGGCCTCCTGCTTCTAAAAACAGAATTGCAGCTTTTGATTGAAAGTATTAAAGCCAAAAATGTGAAAACCTTTATGATGGAATAAAACAGAGTCTAGTAGCAAGAAGGAGAGGGTGGGAGTATATGTGTAAGGGAGAATAAGTTATTTTTAAACAGTTTAGAAAAAAAGTAAAACTTTTTTTTTAAATAATGAATCTTCTGTCCATAAAGTTTCAGTAAGTGTGAAAGCCCACTTATTTTTGGCTTTTGGAAAGTGGTCAGTATTGCTATAAGGTCCTAGTCGTTTGTTTGGATTATTCGGTGACTATGCTAAGATGAAGAGTAACTGTATATCTTGCTGCCAGCTATTGTGTAAAAAATAATGACAGCAGCTATCATTATTTGACAGTGCTAGAACAGAGCACTGGCAACTTGGAAGAGAACTAAAAATGTTATAATGCTCGACAGTGTTTGTTTTAAAATTGTGTGTGTAAGAGAAAGTTAAAAAGAAGTAAGAGGTGTTAGTGATCTTCACATTTTATAGTAACTGCTTTCCTGTATTTTAGAATGAATTTTCATAGAGAACTTCAGACTTTTTCTTCAGGAATAAGGGTGCCTTTATAAGAAGATGGGCATTGTTGCCTGAGATCATTAGTGTACATATTGAGTCTGCTGACAATCTTCAGTGTCAGAGATGACAGCATATGCCTTGATGGCTACTGGAAATACACAGTGTTAAGTGATTTTAAAAATAGAATCTGGAAGTTCAGAATCTGAGAGAGACAACTCAGAACAATATAAAAATAATCCATATTGTGTTTCAGCCCATCAGATGAAATTTACTTTGTGATTCTGTTTCTGGGTTAGCTCGTTTCAAATTCTTGCTTAGTTGCTTCAGTATCAAACTGCTTTATACATGCAACTGACTATTTTGAAAAAAATTTCAAGGTTCAAGAAATTGTGATTTATTTCGTTTTTCCATCATCTACTTTTATAGTGCCAATAAGTAAAATTTTTTGCATGTTATTACTTAAATTGTATAAAAATACATCATGAGACAAAATTTGTTTCTATTACTTTAAAAGTCTTAAGTGAATCAACCATGTAGCCAATACTATTTATCACTTTGATAGCCAGGTGGCATGTATGGAATCAGAAGAAGTAGTAATTCTAGTTTTACAAGGCTCTGACCAATAATCAGGTCAGTGAATCTAGCTTATTCTTTTCAGAGTGCTTCACATTCATTTTTTTTTTCCTTAGCTCGTTTCCATTTTTAGAACCTAGTGAAGCAGAAGTATATTTTGATCTCTGTTTTTCATATGTGGAAATCAAGGCTTGAAGAATTCAGTTGAATTCGTAGGTCACTTAGCAGAATGATGAAGTTACTACGATTGAGATGTAAAACTGTGATATTACCTCGTGGGTTAGTCAGATAACCGATGCCTTTACAGGGTCATCATCTTACAGTGCCAGCCATGTCCAGTACTGACCCATATTTTAGTGACAAAAACTGTTACAGAACACAAGTATGTTAGGAGGGTGGAGTGATACCAGATCATCTTGTCAAGTGGGTGCTGCAATGTGCTTTTTGTAATATAGCTTGTATTAAGGGACTCACCAGCTTTCTGAGTCGTCTTCTACAGCTTAGTTTGGCAGTCACCCTTCGTTGCCTTTCCATGGGACACACCTTAATATAACACCAGATGGGCTTGATGTAAAATCTTGCTGTTTCGAATCCTAGTACTTAGGTTGGTGCATATACTCAATGTACTTTACACTTTAATTCTTTCTTGTTAGGGGAAAAAAAGTCAGATTTGCTGATTTGATTTTTGTCTATCTGTGAGAAGTGTCATGACTGTGTACCAGCCTTTTAAAAAGGGAGGCGTGAGGGAAGGGAACTAAAGGAAGTATATATTTTCAGGTAATTAATAGGAAATGTTATTTATTTATTTATTTGAGAGGTTTTTGCTATAGGGTGTGTGCGCTTGCCAGAAAGACAGAGACAGACAGAGAGACAGAAAGCAAGAAATCACCCCCCCCCCCACCAGGGGGGC